ACTTCTTAAACCTGGAGGAACTTCGGCATAAAGCCTGTTTTTAGTTGCTATCTGTGCTAAGGTAGAGTACCCACGGTCTGTCAGTTTTGAGAAAACGATCGTACAGGCTTGGTTGAAATCAGAAGATCTTGTACAAATTCGATGAAATCGTAAAACTTGTGACTTAATTATAAAAGGCACTGGCACACGGTTAAAGCAATGTTCATGAATGTTAAAGTTAGTGTGTTCAGAGTTAGTAGACTGTGAACAAAACTTTTAGGCTTTTTGAGTGTATTTAGCTAGCTGAGTTGCACATAAGCGTACCTATTATACAGTTTTAGTTATTTTTTGATTGCTGGTTGAGGACTATACTTACTGGAACAAAATTAAAGTGATATATTTAGTCTCATTTTATTACTGACGTTGTGGTAACAAAGTAAAAATGCTACAAATATTTTGATGGATTTGCGTTAAGTTTTGATTTGTAGCAAATATGCATAGCTTTCTGTGTAATATGCCACCTGAGACGGTCAGGATATGGAATTTGTGAAATGCAGCCCTAAATACAAAGTGCACCATTAAGTACTTTTCGTCTGAAATTCAATCATCATTATATAAAGTCTTTAATTGAGAATTAGGCCCATTTTGGTGACAGTAGATATTCTTTTACACTGTTTTAGCTATGGACATAGCGTGAAAGTAATTGTCGACAATCTCAGCTCATCTTCCAAACTGTATAGAACGTATCTCTTTATTCGACAAGGATCAAGTCTAATGCTGAAGTAAAATGGTCCTATCTCATATTCAGACCATTGGAACAAAATAGATACTATCAATGTATTATAATATTAAACACACACACAATGAATAATTAGGCAAAAGTAAAATTTTGCTTAAAACGTGCATGGTTTGGACAGATTAGTAATAACTCTGTTTTTTGGTTTCAATTACGAAATGAGCAATCTTGATGTAAAAATGAGATTAATAAAACAGGTGGATGATGCACCCGTGTCAGTGATGTAGGTCGGAGGAGAGCACGTTAATCTAACGCCAATGTCCTTGCAAATTTCCTCCTTTTGTGAATACGACTGGCATATTGACCAGAGTATGGTAATGTCGATGTTCAAGCATGATTTATCGATAGTAAAAAAAGTAACCGAAAAATTAGGACTTAAAAACCTATTTTATTTTATGTTACTTTGTAAGTGAATGGGTTAACTGATTTAGGCAAGTAGTGTGAGATGAATTAATACAATTACAACAAAATTATCATCAGCTTCTGACATTGATATTGAAATCAGTTTATTAATTGTATCTTTTATTCGAGATAGTAATTGTAAAATATTGATGCTCCAGGAAATCTTCTTTTAAAAGCTCGCCCCTTTACGTCCCTGCTTTCATATTGCCCATTCTGATATATTACCTGACAATCTAGTCTGACTACGGACCTGGTTTCGTTAAGTTGTTCCCACCAGGTTAAAAATAGGTATGCTTCTTTGATAACCCCGTATTTCATGATGTATGTTAATGATATTCTGTCCTCTTTGGAGAACATTGCCATATGGTCTAGTGAGTCTGATGAAAAGAAGTAATGTTAATATAATAATATCAGTGTTCAATTGTGATTTAAATGTTCAGTACATTCTTATTATAGGGTTTGGCACATATAACTTGTAAATCTGTTCTTGTATTATGCCCAGTAGGTCTATCGACCTATATTAGTGTCCTCTGAGACTTAAAAGGTTAAATGTATTTCTTCTCTTCTCTATTATATACATAATAGTAGACGTGTATCAGTGCATTGGGGGTATGCACGATGGGAATACACTTCGGTAGTTATTTACCAATTAATACAGAAACGCTGCAACTATTTTTAGTTTAGAGCTCTATATACGAAACTACGTATTGTTCTAACATGGAAATAACACACACGAACGTAGAATCTTTACCTCGACTTAATAAACGAATTTTTAAAAAGGCTGTAATAGTTTATGAAAGCCTTCAAATCATTTAAAACCATTTCTTAATCCAAATTCGAATTATTAAGCCGAGAAAGATATTCAAAGTGGCTGTGAACTACGTTTCCGTGTAAGAACCATAAGTTGTACTGTAGTTTCCTATGTATTAGCTGTGTTTCAATTTATCAAGTGTAGGCATAAATTGTGTAAGAGGAATGTAAATACGCAATATTGTACCTCTGTAATTAAAAAGAAAAACAACGGAAATACATAGTGGGAGCATTGTACCAAAAAATGTATGGGTAGAGTAGAATAGTAATACATGATAGAAGCTCTGTATCACTGGGAATAAACAAACGTAGCCCCGTCCATCAATGAATTAACACAAGACAAAAAAAATATATATCTGCCTAAAAGTTGTAGGTAGAAAGGGTGTACATATTGATAGCTCTGTACAAATTACAGTAGAGCGGAAATACACAATGGTACTAAATTTGCGTAAATTAAAAAGATGTAGATATTATACATAAAAATTGCTCTATACCAATAAATTATAAGAAGACACATTGGGTATTCATATTGGTATCTTTACCAATTAAATGTGTGTTTGGTAGCTCTGTACCCATTAAATGTGTATTAGCAATTAAATTGGTGTAGGCAGATTGGCAATACACTAAATAGCTATGTATAAATAGAAGTTGTAGGTAGAACAGGAATACATAATACTAATAGTAGATCTGTACTATTTAATTAAAAGAAGATACAATGGGAATAAATAGTTAAAGGTAGAATTATAATACATAATAATAGTTAAATAGTTAAAGAAAAGGGTATACATATTGGTAGCTATGTGTACGTTAAATAGGTGTGGATAGAATCAGAATACATAATAATGGGTGTGTACTAGTAAATTAAAGACACCTGCGGTATACTATACATAGTGGTAGCTCTGTACAAATTAAATGTGTGTTATTAATAAAATAGTTGTAAGTAGCATAGGAATGCACAAAAGTTGCCATGTATCAAGTAAGAAACAATAGGAATACATAAAACAATACTGTACCAATTAATTAATAATAATAATAGATACAATATTTATAGAGCGCATTTTATAATAATAACTACTACTCTAAGCGGTTCACATTAAGCATAAAATACAAAGCACCCACTAATACGAAAAAAAAAACCAAGCAGTTCAAAACAGTCTTAAATGAATGCAGTCAGTTTAAAGTATAAAGAATAAAATAAAATCTGCAAGAAATCCTTAAAAGCAGTTAGAAAGAAACGCGTCTTGAGTTGTTTTTAAAAACATCTAAAGAATTCACATTCCGCAAAGACAACGGTCTGTTTGTTTTGTATGGCGTAATTAGTTAGCTAGGAGCCTTGCCAAATAGGTGTAGGTAGAATGGCAACACATACTAGTAGCTCTGTACAAATTAATTTAAAAACAAACACACAATGGGAATTAATAGTAGCCCTGTACCAATTAATTAAAATAAGACACAATAGGAATTCATTGTGGTACCTCTGCATCAATTTAATAGTTGTAGGTGGAATGGGTATACATACAAGTATCTCTGTACCAATTAATTAAAATAAGACACAATGAGAATTCATCGTGGTACCTCTGCATCAATTTAATAGTTGTAGGTGGAATGGGAATACGTAAAAGTATCTCTGTACCAATTAATTAAAATAAAACACAATGGGAATTCATGGTGGGAACACTGTACAAATAAAATGGGTGTGAGTAGAATGTGAATACACAATTGTAGTTAATACAATTTTCTTGCTTCGTCATTATGAATACACCATTTACATGTATTTACAAATGTACTCATTATATTCGTATACATTTAACACATTTAACTTATAAAGCATTGTGGATTGGGGCCAGGGTCATTGTCAACAGAATCTAAATTAAAAGCTTGACCAAGACTAAGATTAGAAGGCGATGGTTTCGCAGAATGTTTTGAACTGTTTGGCGTTAATCCGCTTACCATTGCGGAGGCAATGATATAGTGGTAGCACTGTACCAATTAAATAGGTGTAGGTAGAATGGGAATAATTGTAGCTTTCTATAAAATATACTGCTTAGACATTATGGATACACACAAAGTGTACTTACAATTTACAAATTTTATAGCCAGGATCATTGTCAACGGAATCTAAGTTAAAATCTTACTCACCTATGCATGCCGTTATATCAAGATTCTAGTGAAGTTAGTTACAAGAGAGAACAATAATTTCTGTTTAATTTTCAGTATGGGTGCTGCGTAACAGATGAGGAAGAACAATCAACAAGTAAACACCGACCTGGTATTATCTGTATGATGGTTGTAAGCTGCATTACCTTCATTGGTTTACAAGTTATCAATATACTGGGTCCACTTGTAGGTAAGAACGTAATCACTTTAAAAAGTGGCGCTGCAATCTACCTTATTATGAAACTATTATTTAGCAATTGTGAGTACGATATATAGACACAGCTTTATGGAACAAAAATCACTGGTTAATATTTTATATTACGTTTCGACGTGTTTCCCCCGTCGTCCCCGTTTAACAGGTACAATAAGAGGTACATAATTCTTAAAATAATATACAGGCTGATTAAGTACAATAATTGAAATAAAGTAAATGAATTAAAAAAAATAAACAACTATTGCTAGTATTGGAGTCTTTTATTGATAGAAATTATATTGGGGAAAACACGTCGAAACGTTGCATAAAACTTTAACCAGTGATCGTTGTTCCATAAAGCTGTGTCTATATAGATTAAAATAAAGGTAGTAAACGATGTTGGCAATATTTATAATATCCATTTATAATACTTCTTTTACCAGGGGGTTCTACGAGTTGAACATTTTGAATTAAATGTGCTTAAAAAGAATCAATCCAGTTCAACAAACAGACAGTCCCATTTTCTATTTTAATGAAACATGAAATTTTTACGTTGGAAGTAACTGATTGTCTTGAAGCATTGTCGTCAAACCACCCAAAATTATTGAAGCTATTTTTATGTAATCTTACTTCTTTACAGGTATATTAATTAACGGACCTGATAACGTTACCAACCATTTTTCAGTGGATTTAACTCCCTCAAATGATGTATTAGCTATTTGGACAGTTGTATATGTATGGCATTTCCTGGTCCTACTCTATTGTGTCGTGTCAGTGTGCCGTACAACCAACGAACTTAAGCCCGTGTATTCTAACCCAACTCTGTTATCGTGTTTCTTTTTCATGTACCTCTCAATCAGTTATCTTGCAACATTAGGATGGGTTTTTGTCTGGGATCGGACTCACCTGACCGCATCAACAGTCATTATTTTTCTTGCAACAGCATCACTTCATATGGCGCTTATCGTGTCTTACCGAAAATTGGATAAATGTACCAAGAGATTAAGAAATGAAGGCAGAGGGAGGGAACGTTGGTTTGTTATTATCATTGTGCAAAATGGTGTGGCAGGTTACGCTGCCTGGACTGCAATCATTTTCTACATTAATCTTGCGGTGTGTGTAGTGTATTGGGACGCTGTACCTTCAGGTGAATCTATTGCGTCTCTCGTTTGTTTACTCATTTTAGCCACACATTACCTGATTTATGTGCTGACCGATTTAACCGTCTTAGATAGATTTTCTGGTTATGTGCTGTCTCCATATATTGTGATAATTGCAGCCGTTATTGGGATGCTCAAGCGAAACTTTAAACCTGGTACAACAAATGGAATAGTTATAATAATATTCTTGACACTTAGTATCGTCTGTGCAATCATAAAGTGTATCAGAATGATAAGGACTATGATGATACGCCAGAGAACCACGCCAAGTCCCGTTGACTCTAATAGTACTAATACAAAAGGAAGTAATTCCAGCACAATGGTTACATTCGGTACGCAAAGAACTAATTTAACCGGTCAGGTGGACACAGATGACACCGATTTGGATGATATCTCACCCGATCTGTTTGAGATGCCAACAGAACCAAACCATACCCCACGAAGATCTCCGGTAATGAATGAGAACGAGTCTGTGGATATTTTGCCAGAAGATAGTATGGATAGTGTATCTGTCGACATGCACGATGGCCCGGTGTCTACAGGTCTATATAAACAAAATGATGACAACAACAACGAACAGCCTATAGACTATCCCTTAGAAAAAGAGGACTATCTTTTGAATTCTGAGGACAAACAAATGCATGAGGAAGTGCCCAATCCTCGCTATGAAATAAATTCCATAAGTGAAGGTATGCATCCCGATAAACCAAAGTCTGTCATTAGAGAACAAGACCCAAAGGATATTCACCAAATTAAGGATCGACTTCGGCGACCACTTACAACTGTGCTGGAAAATCGGGAACTGGAGTATCCTACAGTAAAGAAAAAATTATACATGGATGAATTCATTCTTTACAACTGAATCACATAATAGTTTTTTCCAAAATATAGGAAGATCGAATCATGAACTTTGAGAATTGACGAGATATAGACAGATACAAGTGGATGTATACAAAATGATTGGCCGTGGTTCAGCTCACAATTACGGCTGTTTTACTGGCCTCCGGTTGCTGGTGCCTGGGAAGCTGTGATTTCTTTCGTCAAGGTTGTTTATGAATTCTTATTAACTTGCGTCCACCTCATTCTCATAATGAGACTTGAGACTTTGGCAAAGGTCGCAAACTCGGAGAAGATACACGTGGTGAAAGTATGATAAAAATCTCTCATCTGTACATATGCATAATTATCAATAAAAACCAAAAACATGTATCCTTTCCGGCTTACGATAACGAAGGTGAGAAAGGAACATACAGACAGAAACTGATGTTTCGTTACACTTTGTATAGAATAATTTTTAGATTTGACAACAAAATGGAGTAGTTTTCCCACTGCTCGCCAATGACCGATGTCATACCAATATTTGGCTCTTCCACTTTCCATAGGCAGAAATTAACAATGTCTATAACGTAGTGATGATCTGAGATGAGTAAACATTCACAGTATGATTTGTTTGATTTGTAGTGTTACCGGACGTCAGATTGTAATTCTAATTAGCACTGTGGATAACTGAAATTAAATTGAGCTCTATCGACTGACACAAACGGTTTTATCTTTTTAGGCCCGGATAGAACAATCATAAATGATTTAGAATCCGCAAAATAGTTACACAGAATGACATAAACGATATATCTATGATTGTGTAGTATCTTTCTGAAAACAATGCCATCATGGACGCTGAAAAGGTGGCCACGGTTTTGAATAAATCAATGCATTGAAATAAATTCAAAGCTGTATTTCTTGAAAGTAGCCGATTACTTTCGGAATATTGTTGTTTTCACTAATCGTACACCATAACCTAAAAACTGTTCCTAATTGGAAAAGAAGCCAATGAATACATTCAATTATTTTTTTAGTCATATATTCATTTATAATAATTATTTAATTTATTAATTATATTATATTATTCTGAATGTAGTCATCTCTTTTCACGTTTCATTTTTAAACTGCCATGCGAAAACGTCCGTCATGAACATTTTAGATGGCACAATTAATGATGGATTTAAATGAAACGAGGTAATTTCTTATCAATTGTGAGAAGAAACCATATCAAAATCGTCGAAAATATTTGTCACGAGTTCTTCGAAACGCTATTAATTTCTATCTTGTTGACACTCTGGCACTTTAACGAAAATTGTTAATCATCGCCCGAGGGAGAGTCCTAACGAAATTTAAAGAAGAATCTAAAAGAAATATTGGAATACTGGAATTGACCAAGCGTGATAGTGAAAATCTGAGATATTCTATTCTATTGGGTCTTGCCAACCAAAGTCTCTCGAAAAGATTACAATTTACTTTTGTAGGTTTGATTTTCTCCTTGTAAATTTTTTTTTTTAAAGTTTTGACTGAAACATTTATTTTTTCTCCTTGAAAAAAGGGCAGAGAATAGCTAATGAACCCATGTATGTCTACCTCATTTTTTTTTGTTAGTTATCGGACTTTAACGTATTGATTTCAGATGGAATATGTGTTTGTCTTTTATGAAGAT